ACATCCGTTCGATAGATCTAGAGCGGCCCAAACAGACGGGATCTGGGACTAGGACTGTGTGCTCAATGAACTTGTTCTGGTCATCCCGATGGTTCTTGCGTTTGCTCGGCGATAATCCCATACAAAGCGAGTTCGCCTACGGTATTAATAATGTACGGGAGAAGTATGATGTGTTGGTATGGTAGTAGCATTTGCTCAGTTTCGTGTCTAACCTCCAAGCTCTCCTTTGAACGCGTCTTTTCCATGTCGGTGGACCAGAACATGATCTATCGACTCCGACGATGAAGACGGGCTGCTCACCTCCGAGTGTGATCCCAACAAATGGATTGCACAGGGGAAAATATACAAAGATGTTCCCGCAGAAGTCGTGGCAGCTCGACATCGCACCTTGCAAATCCCCTGCTCAGTCCCTCTTCGGCACAAGATATAGCCATTTTCGCACTCCTCTCATTTGAATTACCGCCGATTTCATGCCACGACGACCCAATGGATTTTCATACGGGTTTGCGATGATTGGTTCGGAGATTGTTCTAGCCCCATTCGATCAACCCGAGGCGGCATTGGTAATTATTGATATTCTTCTTTGTTAATTGAGATACTGATGCTCTGATTCAGGATATGTTCAGCAGATGGATCTCCAACACCCCTCTATCGCTCCAGTAGACTTTTGAGATTGTATACCGTTTTCTATAATAAAGGAACTTGTATTGTATTTCATTGACATTCACGATATTGTAGAAGATCGTAAGGAGCTTCATCTGCAATAGTCCGATGTAATAGGCTGAAGAATGCCAGGAAGGAACAAGCGATCACATAAATTCCGGCTGAATCACCTATTGACCGTCGGCGGCTTGGTGTAAACAAGTGCAAACCTTTACACTTGTTTGGCATCAGCATCTTGCCAACGCTTTTGTCAAGGGTTTTGTCGGGTGGTTGTCGGGGCTCTGGATGTGACGTCCATCCCACGACTAGGCTCAAAAGCACAACGGGGCTTGTGTCTGTCGGGGCTCTGGATGTGACGTCCATCCCACGACCAGGCTCAAAGAACCTGAGGAACAGCGGGTTTTGGTCTTTCAGGATTTTGTCGGGGCTCTGGATGTGACGTCCATCCCACGACTATTTTCTCCAGTTCGTGGGCTTGTCTCTGTCGGGGCTCTGGATGTGCCGTCCATCCCGCGACTATTTTCTCTATCAAACGCCCTGGGTACCATCTCTCCAGGTCAGTGATGTCTTGTCATATTCTACACTTCGCCCTTTCTTTCTCTCCCTTGCTTCCCGATATCCTCGCGTGTTGTCTCAATTCTTAGCTGACATTCATTCCCCTTACCAGGTTCTCCCTTGACGAGGATGACGTTCCACAAGTGGCCCTCAAGCCGGCGACCAGGGAGCGCCCAAAGAGCATGCCACCGGTGTCGAGCGCTCCGCAGGCGTCGCCTGGCCTCAGGGGATCGTCCACGGTGCCGACGATGACGGACATGCTAGCGAGCAAGCGCGGGTGGACGGCGAAGCTGCGCGACCTCGAGCACGCAACGTTTGGCAGCCCCAGCGGATGAAACACGCCCGCACAGACGCCGTCGTCGGCGACGGATAACCACGATTGAATCAACGAGAAGTGGCTGCACGAGCAGGAGCACCGCGGGGAGAAGCGCCGGAAACACAAGGTGGAGGTCTACATACGCGTTCCTTCTTCTTTCCTCCCGTCGCTTTCATTTTCTTATTTCTATTGATTTCGCAGATTATGCGACCCGTCGTACAGATCATCCAGCCGCAGGTGTTCATCCTGAAGCTGACCGTTCGGCAAGATCGCGGTCGCCACGGTCGCCAAGCTCTTCAGTTTCCTCTCTGCGGCCCTGGCCTCGACCGGCTTCTTCTGCTACTTCGGTGTCGCATCCAACTCCGTCGTCCTCATTCTCCCTGTAAGCACCTCCTCTTTTCCCTCCCACCGTTTTACTTACCCCCGGCGACAGGGCTTCATCGTCCTCTGGATCCCTCGCGATCATGTCACGCAATATCATCTCGGGGTCGCCGCGCATGTACTGCGGGGTCGTGTACTTGCTCTTCATCGGGTTCGGGCTGGCGATCGGCGCGGAGGCGTACGAGAAGATCACGTCGTAGACGATTATCGGGAGTACACACTATGCGTGCAGCATGAGCCACGGGCCGTGGTGGCCGCGGACGAAGAGCTTGTATTGGGGTGAGTATTGCACTTTCCTTCGTTGCGCTGCGGAACGCAACACTGATTGCTTCTTTTCCGCGACAGCGTTCTTGACGGTGCCGATATACTCGCTGTTCTTGAGTATGCGGAACCAGGTGCCGGGGTGGAACAAGGAGATGGTGCTCCCTCCTCCTTCTCTCCCCCGTGCTTGCGCTGACGACTCGCCACAGATCCTGAAAAAGGTCACCGCCGAGTTTTGCGTCGGCTCGACGCTCAAGCACCCCAACATCATTGCCACCGTCGACATTGTCTCGGACCCCGGCGCGCGTCCGCAAGCCCGAGCACAAGCCCAAGCGCGGCGCGACCATGCCCGCCGGCTCGGTCCTCGACCCGCCGCGGGCCGTGCGCGCGCGTGCAGCCAGCACGAGCTCGCCGCACCTCGACGACCCAGCGAGCACGTGCAACTCGTCCGAGACGACGTCCATCCTCAGCTACACCGATCGCGACTCGGGCTCGACGTCCATCACTGACCCGCCGTCGCGCATCACGACGCACAGCGGCGGGTCCGCGGGTGCGCTCGCCGACGAGCTGGGGAGCCCGCGCTGCCTGCAGATCCAGAACGCGCAGCCCGTGTTCAAGAACACCGTCACACTCCCCGTCATGGGCCTGCTCACGACCGACAGCCCCACTGAGGCCGAGATGGACCGTCCGTGCTGACGTTTGCGCGCCCAGGCAACTCTACCGAGTTGCTCCCCCTCAGCCCGCGAGAGCCGTACACGGACCTCACGTTCCCGTCGACGCCGTCGTCGCATACGGACGACCTGCCGACGCCGCGCGTGGGGACGATGCCGCTCGCCGTCCCGATGTCGCCGCCACGCACACGCGTCGCGACGTTCAACGCGTTCCACACCGTACACGTCAAGCAGGCCGCAGACTAGGCTACGACCGCCGCCGCCGCCGCCAGCGAGCAGCCCGCGCCCGAGCCGCATCCCGCACCCCCCGTAGAACCGCCAGAGCCCAGTAAAGCAACGCCGAAGAGCAGCAACGCACGGACAACGTGACGACGTTTCATGGTGGAGGCGCCGAGTCGATCTTCCGTTAGTACGCATACTACTACTACTCCTACGCATTCACCCACGCAAGCACGCACACACACACCTATGGAACGCACGCCCCACACACGCACCGGATTGGAAACGGAACGGGAACAGATACGTCTTTTCTTTAAATGTGGAAGGACACTGGCTGGATTTCTCTCTTTTTTTTTCGTCTCCCCCTCCCGCCCGTTTCCGTCCTCGCCGCCTTCTATCCTTATTCATCTCGCTGCCAGCTTCATTTATTATATACATGCGTACCCCATCTTTCCTTTCGATTTATTTTACATACTACTATACCTTACACCGACCCCCCCGTGGCGCACACCTTTAATCGTGCGTCGCGGTCCTTGTTCCGAGCCCCGGACCAAAAGTTCACGCGTACATATTTCTTTTCCTACCCTTCTTTCCCTTACATTTTCTATCTATTATATACCGCTTAGACACAGTGCTCTGTAATTTTGTACGTATGCACCCTTGGTAAACGAAACAACGACGACGATGATAAAATATTTTCGCGAATCACATCCGCCCCGCCACCATCAAGGAGAAATGTATAAAATACATCAAGCTAGCTGTCTACAAGAGCTCGTTGACCTCGCGGCGCCGGTCAGCTGTATCATTCGCATCGTGCTTCTCCTCCCCATTTTTCTTTTTCTTCTTGCTGCTGCTAGTCGACGCCCCATGAATGCTGCTAATACATATTAGAGCGAGGAGAAGCGCAAAAAAAAGACACCCACTTGTGTGCCGTTTTGCTCTTGTCCTTGTGCGCTCTGCGTACTTGCGCTTTGAGACGTTTAGCTTCTCGGCGCTCATCGGGATTTGAATCGGGGATGCGTCTTTCTCCCCAGGGTGGGTTGGGGTTGCAACTTGCACACGGACATTTGACCGGGCTCTGCGTATCTTCCCAGTATTCACGACCGTAGTCGATGAATAATTGCTCACCCTGAGAGATGGCGCGGTTGGTCTGGATCGTCATTGCGTACGTGTCGGTAACATGCACAAACTGCACTCAAAGAATGAGCAACGTGCAAGAAAAGTCTGAGAGGAACATTACCTCAACGTTAGGGCGACAATCATGGTTGATCAGACGTATGGGTCCGAAGAGGATGTGTTTGGTGGATTCCCCGGGGTAGGTGACAACGGAAAGGTTGGTGTGGTCCGCCACAAAGTCGATGGACATGAGTCCAGATAGTTCATAAATGAATTCGTTCGCCTTGAGGTCGCGACTGGCGAATATAGCAAAACCTTTGGTGTGCAACGGTCCCATGCGCAATACACGTAATTGGACTGGGGACCATGGCGCCAGAAGTACAGTGTATGCGCGGAGAGCCCTGATTGCAGGCGTTGGCTGGTTAAATTGAAGCAGAGAAAAAAGATGTACCAGAGCAGAGCGTGGTACGATTCGGCTGGGAGGTTCATTGTGAGCCACATTTCATCAAAAGGGCGGTAGTTTTCGTCTTCAGGCCGTCGTACGTTTGGTCCACGGCGAGCAGCTGCTCCTGGTGCTGCTTGAAGAGACTGCGGAGCTGTTGGACATGTCTAATGTCCTGTATGACAGGTGTTTCCGAAAGATGGGCAACTGTGTGGACGTTGCTGGCGGTTTTCTTCGAGACTTGGGCAAACTGGCGCGTGCATGAGGTAAGGTGATGGGACGAAGAGAGCTTGTACGACGTTACGTTACGTTACGTTTGTGATCTGATCTTCCGCGACGTGGGAACAGCTCAAAAGATAACGCTAACATGACAAAAAAACACTACTGGGGTCGAACCCATGATCTCGCGATAATAACATAGCAGTTGCAATCGCATGCTCTACCACTAAGCCATAGTGTCTACAATTTTACTCTTATCAGCAGCAGGATAGGTAGTGATGTTCTGGTTTGGTTTGGTTTTCAAACCATGGTTTTGGTTTGGTTTCAGCTGGTTTTGGTTCCAGAATCCTCAAACCAAAACCAAAACCATGGAGCATGGTTTGGTTTGGTTTGGTTTTCAAACCATGGTTTTGGTTTGGTTTCAGCTGGTTTTGGTTCCAGAATCCTCAAACCAAAACCAAAACCATGGAGCATGGTTTGGTTTGGTTTGGTTTTGGTTTAAACCATGGTTTGCCCACCTTTCTGCCATCAAGAGATCCAGGCCCATATTGTAAAGGATTTTCGACAGGATGAGGCTAGAATCTTCATCTCGCAACTCTGCAGCCTGGTCACTTCCCATTTGCAGGTCATGTTCGTAGTTGGCCGAGGTTCGGAGCGGCAAGCCGATCAGCCGACATCAGCTGCATCAATTAATTCTACGGCTTAAGTCGTGCAAGTTACCATAGTGCTTCAGCATGTGAAAGTTGAGCAGGTAAATGTATCTGTAGTGGGAACTAAATATCTGGTTTAGTCGAAATACTACCGGGAAATCTTATATGCTCGAAACCATGGTTCAAACCATTGGTTTTGGTTTCACAGCCTTCAAACCAAAACCAAAACCAGCATCAAACCATGACCTTGGTTTGGTTTGGTTTCAACAAACCATGGTTTTGGTTTGCTGGTTTCTTGGTTTCAAACCAAACCAAGAACATCACTAAGGATAGGAAGTTGATGTGGCGCAATAGGCAACAAACCACTGGAACGAGCAGTTTCTTTCGACGTTGACAATGAGCTCGGTGGGAGAAGTGCGGAAGTTCGGAAGCTATTCGGCTATCTTATCACACTTACTGCACTTGCTCCTGACTATCACTTCCTTGTCGCCTTTGCGCCGTCCTGACCCTCTAATTCGGACGGCGGAGAGGTAGGTATTTCTGTTCTGCAAGGAAGTATGTAAAAACTCATGTTCACCGGTACAGATTTCGTCCTGGTCGTGGGCTCTGCAAAATAACCGTTTAAAATGTTTTCAACCGGTTTTTTACAGAATAATGACACTTCAATCATTTTATAAATAAGAAAGCAAGCAAATACTTCCCTCTTGTTGCACTCATTGTGAGCTCAATTATTGTCCGATTCGCTTGGTTTATGGCGCGTTCGAAGGCGTTTCAAAGGCGCTTTCGGCCTGTAGTGGTCGCAACTTTTATCTCCAAGTTTAAGATCGAAAATTTAAACTTGGAGATGAAAGTTGCGACCACTACAGGCCGAAAGCGGCTGGAATATCTTTTTTAATTTTCTGGCTGTGCGCATATTTTATCCCTTCCCGGTGCACTGCGTGAGAATCAGTCGCGCATTGCGACAGAATACAATTTATCCGCACAAGCGATCGGTCGATCGGCGGAGTGTCGATCACACAAGAAAACTGTCAACACTCATATTTCTTCTCGAGACTGTTTCTTCATCATGTACCTCTCATTCCGAATTGCAAACCACCTCTAGCGCTGACAGCAACTCTGGTCCGCATTGCTCTGGCGCGGGGCGATAGCCTCTGTCTTCTGCGCCATCTCTATTTCTCTATCCTGTGCGCTCTCTAACTCCCAGGCGTCCCCTCGCATCACTTGCAGGCTCGAGATCGTTTCCTTCGTTGGCCCACGCTCGTCCTAGTTGCGCTGGCGGGGGATGGCGGATACACAGGAAGGCGGGTGGCGAGAAAGGGTCGAGCGGTATGTAGGGACGTAGTGCATGTATAGACCCTCAGCGAGGTTCGCCGACCTGCCGTCCCCTTGTCGCGGGGCTGGGCTTGCGATCTTTGGGTTCGCCCTGGGATTTACTAACACGGCTTAAATGGCTTTGACTTAGTTTCTTATGATCGTGCAATATAATCATTTTTCTTATTCACCCGTCGTCTTTGAGTAGCTACAACGTAGTCGAGTGTATGTATGCTCGCGATCTTGAATTCAAATTGCTTAAACGACATGCAGAGACGTGTTACCCACTGAGTTGACCCGGAGCTAGGTGCTGTTTGTTGTGTCTTTGTGGACGTGACTCCGCCCCGTATTTCAATCCTTCCTTCCGATTTGCAGCTCTATCATTGAAAATATCCAGTGTCAAGACTTAGGCTCGTGACCAGCCTGCCTACGGGATTCCAACCAAATGTGGCGGGCATGGTTGCCATAGGCAGGCTGGGACATCTCGGAGCCGTCGAAAGGGCTGGGCCGGAGTTTGAAATTTAAGGGGCTGTTTAAAAGATTATCTATTCCTGATTCAATTTTGAAGCAATTCTTTTGTTTCAAGCTCTGTAAACAAACCATAAATTTATCTCTTCAGTTCTGTGTCCTCAAAATTGTATTCATGCTCCCTGAAATCCCATAGATTTGAAGGGAGTTTTGAAGGCAACTAAGCGTGGGAACTCGCTTCAGGATTGCCGAAGTCATTGCGTCATCAGGTAAGTACAAGCGAAAGTTAGCGTGGGAAACCATTTAATTTCAAACTCAGGCCCAGCCCTTTGGACCGCTCCGTGATATCCCAGCCTGCCTACGGCAACCGTGCCCGCCACATTTGGTTGGCATCCCGTAGGCAGGCGCTCAAAGGTCCAACTGGCTCAAAATCGGAACAAAGTCTTGCAAAGGTCATCTGAGCTCAGCCTTGCCTTTATATTGACCATAGAGGAATAGAGCGAAGAAACTCGACAGTGATACTGTGCGGGTCGTTAGAGCGACAATGACTTCGGGTGTTCTTGAAAACCCGAATAATTCGCTCCAATCACGGTTCAAAAACCAGTCTCAAAGGCAGGAACGAAACAGAGAGAAGCAGCTCAATCTCGAGAGCATTACTGGCCGAGAGACCATGAAATTGCGTGCGCAAGCTAAGGACGACAAGCTCGAGATCACCAAGCTTCGCAAACAAATTGAAGTGTTCAGCCCAGCAACTCCGCAAACACCGTAGCGACAACCCCAGTCCATTGCAGGCCCACCGAAACTTACCCGCCGCCAACATAAGAAGGCTTTCTCACTTCTAATTTCCGTTTTTCACACAAGATAGTTGCCAGCAACTCCGATCAATATTAGCGGATATCTTTTCTTAGTGTTCAGAATACACAACGTAGATGATCAACTGGTCGAAGAATCACCCGCCATGCTGCGTTCGAACGTGATGGATGAAGCTGAAGTGTTGGTGTATGTCGGCGATGGCACACAGAGCCCGTCGACATGTCTGGTAGCATTGCGGGGTGTAGCATGTCTGTGTGGAATATTTACAACCAATACATTATTTTCGCCATTCATTGGGAAACGTATTCAATTGTTCGCAAACCAGTCATAGATGGGCGACAGCCCAGATGGCAGCAATGTCGATACGCAGCTGGCCGCCACATGAAGCTGGCTCCAGTGTGGACCTATTCGGAAATGGGCTGGTGGCCAGCCTTCAGCAGGCTGGTTCCAGCTGACAGCTGCATGTATGTGACAGTTTTCTTCCAGCTCTGAGACACATGGCTGCCCGTTGCCGGTGTACGCGTCATCTCCTCCTCGACGCGTTCACGACGCGCTGGACGCCCTACCACCACTTTCGAACAACTCCATGGCTCGCAAGCCTCGATGGCAGGCCCAGATAGGCAGCGAAACCATCCAGAACATTGTCAAGAAGCTGATACCCGCATGGAAAGATGGTCTCTGTGGTGTCCAATAAGATCTCGTTTCCGCAATACTCGATGGCGACGATATCCTCTGCTGCACTGCGACCGGCGATGGAAAATCAGCCGCGTTCTCCGTCCTCATTCTAGTACTAAAAGAATACAACAAAAGCCCTGCGCTATATCCTGCTGGGCTGCCGACGCGCTTGAATCCGGTGGGCATGGTTGTCACCCCGATGAAGGGTTTAGCCACCAACATCGTGAGTGTAGCTCCCCCCTGAAGTGCGGGCTCTCCAACCGGAGTTACCAAGGTCTTGGAATTGACTAGACTCAACATTTCTGCCTTTGCTTATTCTCGTGAATCATTGGCGGATGCGCGTCAACGTGGGGTAAGCCTTGCAGACGAGATCAAGACCTGCGACAAGTGGCAAGTCGTATGCGTCGATCCTGAACACCTCAAGACGAAGGAGTGGCGTGAGGTGTCGGAGTCGCCGATATTTCGAGCTAACATCATTTATTCGGTGGTCGACGAAGTCCATCTGATAAAGTTATGGGGCGTAGATTTCCGTGTCGATTTCACGACTATCGGTTTTTTTGTCCGTGGCCGCATTCCACCAAACATTTCCATTGTCGGTCTTACGGCCACCCTCGCACCGGGCAAGGATACTGCAGCAGTTTGCCAGAGCCTCGGACTTTTTGACGGACAGTTCCATTTGATCTGCCGGACGAACGAGCGACCGAATACACAGTTCATCATGCGAACACTGACGCATGGACTTGCGGGATACGATTTTCCCGATATTCTACCCTTCATTCGCAGTGGCCGCAAGGTCATTTTCCATTTCGACTCACTCGACATGCTCTTCCGATGCTATGTATACATCTGGCGCTTACAGTCCGCATCAGCCGACAAAATGCGTCGCGCGCACATGTACACCAGTCTTTGTTCGCCCGAATATAACGAGGAAACGATTCGGCTCATCGAGAATGATCCACAAAGCCAAATAATCCTCGCCATCGTTGCGTTCGCAAATGGTATCAACGCCAAGGCCCTCCTCGACAGCGTCTTGATCGGATTTTCTGGCTCTGTTCATCTACTGGTGCAAAAGTTGGGTCGCGTTGGACGGGACGAAGATACTCATGCACGGGGAGTAGTCCTTATTCAGAAGAGCACTATCGCACTTGCTCAGAAAACCTTGAATTGTAAGTTCATTGTTTGCTCTTCAACAAAGATTCATTCTCACCCCAAAATCCTAGCGCTCTCAAAACCGCCTTCTGCGACCCACGAAGGGAAGGGGTAGCCGGAAACAAAGAAACCCGGACGGGATGGACGTCTTCAAGGCACAGTTTATCACAGAATC